CATTTCATGAAGATTATATTAAATAAAGTATGTTATATTATAATTATATACCGTATAATGTGATATAAAAAAATAAAATTATTCTATTAAACAATTTAAATTATATTTTATTCCAAAATACCTTTATTCGATTATACACGTTATTGGTTGTTAAAAAATGATATAATAAAGAAAATAAACGGTAATGCCATGAAGGTAATGGAAAAAAAAATTGATATAGAAGAAAATATTGTACTGTACTGTACTGATTGTTTGAATAAAGGTGGTGGTTACGCCACGAAAGAGAAAAAAAAATAGAAAGCAATTAAATTTGTAATTATAAAGAAAACAAAGTGAATACATTAATCACTATAAATCGCTTTAGGCGGGAGTAAAAAGAAACGTGATTGAGCAATTTTACACGGTCAAAAAATACACCACATGGAATGACCTTCCAAACAGTGGTTAAAGCTAAGTACAGGATTAGTGATGCGAAATGACCCGTAACCATAATTTTATTAGAATAGCTTTATTGAATTTCTTTAAAAATCTAAATTTAAAAAAAAAAAACTCTCTGAAAGTACCCCAGCATTATCATCAATTGTTTGCAAAGTCTTGCAAAATATTTCTACCAACTCAAAAGTTACTGGAAAGTTGGAATAATGGTATGGTGCCATCTAGACTGGGTTCCAGTCCCCAATCTTTGTCTTTAAATCTATTTTGACACCAATGGCGTTCCATATTACCTATTTGCTTGGCGTTTCATAGTATACTTTTTCTTGGATTAAAAGTTTCTCGATATATACCGTCGCTGGTGGCGCTCTCCAAAATTAACTAATACTAGGAAAACCTATAATTAGAGACGTGTGGCAAGTATAGGTGCCATCTACATAAAAGGAAGTTTATGTAGATATAAAGGCTGACACTCAATGCGTCGTACGACGGTCGTACGACCGTCGCATGATGAATCCACATTTGCTTCCGGCGAGCGATAGACGCTGTCTGCTGATTGTCAGTGACAACCTGAACGGATACTCATCAAAAAAGACTCATAAAAAGACTATCCGTTGGGTCCGCGTCGTCGCTTTGCCGTCGCGTCGCCATCGCACGCAGTGAGTAACCGGCTTAAGGTAGAATGGAATGAAGAATTCAATGATGCATGAGTGGTACACCTCTCCCCGGCCCTCCCCACATACTCTGACTCTTTTGAAAACAATATACAAACATGTATAACTTACATGAATGACGATAAGAACCAAACACCAGGCAAGTATGAGTTTCATGATTGAAGCCTTACAACTTTCAACAATTCGTGCGTGTATCAATTAACAGATATTGGACTCAGTCCTTTTATTGCACAATAAGTGAAGGGCTGGGTTGAAGGAAGGATGCGAATGATTACGAGGCCAAACGTTATTAGGAAGACAATTTGGATACAAAGGGAGCGGTAAGCGGTTAGTACAAACCTAAAATAGTTTCGAACGGAACTTTTTTGTGTAATAGATCGTATAAGACGGATGCGTTACTCAATACTATAAAAATAGAAATAGTGTAGGTGCGTGTGTACTATCATCACTTAACTGATGAAGGTCATTTCCAAAAACTCTTAATACACTTGCGTATCTTAGGCTATATTTAAAATTTTGCTTACCAATTTTGTTTCTATATCGAGACAGCCATTGTTTCCTACTGTGTCAAATCTGTCGGTATTTTTGTTAAACCTATAGGCCCTATATAGTTATATATTAAAAGTATAGATATATAAGCTTTTATATAGGTATAAAAACAGGTCTATATAAACTGTTAAACTAACAAATAGGAACGCTCTTACCTGTACGAAGACTACCAATACCAAACAGAAAAATACGATCGTCATGGTTTTCACAACTTTCTAGCTACAAAAAAAGCAGATTGTGACAACAAAACGACAGTGCTTCAGAATTAAAAATTTTATCAACTTATATAGACGAATGCGGTAATTAAAGTGATGCATTGTTCTTTTTCAAGTTCATTGTCGTTCACAGAAAGATGTTCTTATTAGTTGTTTTGTTAACTACATCTATTTAAATGTATATATTATGTATTTATTAGCTTCATATACATACTCGAGGCGCCTTAATATAATTCCATAAACTCTCCGGTGGGGAAAAAATAATCAAAATCGATGTCACACAACAGGCCTCATGGGACATTGCCTTTGTGTTTCGAGTATTGTCTTCCGAAAACGATTACAAAGTCTTCAAAATGCAATCTTTAACAAAAATTAAAATACATTACAATTTGTAGAATTTAAATACTCGAGGCCAAAATTTTACACAGTAAGTGCCACAAATTAAAGTAGTTGCGGATAGTGCATTACAA